AGAAATGTTCTCTAAATTAAAATACATACAAAAAACCAAAAACATTAGAAAAAGTATTACTTTGTTTCGAAAAGGAAGGGATTTTATTTACTTTTTGATATATATTTACATTTGTGTTTATGAAATTATCCATTAAAAATGAGGAGGTTTGTGATAAACTAACATTAATGTCTCCAGCGGTAAAATGCAGTATTACAGTCTTACATTCAATCTATGCTTTGAGTTTAGAGGTTATATATTGTTCAGGAAGAGTCCAAACATCTATAGAATAAATCACATAAGGTTTCTGGTTCCATATTACATAAAACGCATTTTTCTTCATTATCTGAGAATTTGGAAATATATAGATTTGTTGGATCTATAATGTGTAGACCTTTGATGGGAATCTCCTTTATCTTATTAAAGATACAGTTCTTCTAATGTTATCCCAAAATGCTTTTCCTCCTGGATTTATCCTCTTTTCGTGGAAAGATTTATTTATTTGTTTGTTGTTGCACTTTGAGTCCAGTAGGTCAGAACCATTTATCATTAGAAGATGTTTTATTCTTGGTTATACTGGAAATGTCTCCGGATCAGGAGAGAAAGAACGTTAGGGTTAGCCTTAGTTACGTGACTAATTCTTTGTATGTGACAGAAAAGGACTAAGAATTATACCATGAGAATCAAAAAGGGTCCCATTAAAAAATAATGTTTATATCAACCCAGGTCTGTATAAATAAGGACTTTTTCCTGATGGTAACATCTTCATTATTCCAAGTTTTAAAGGTAATTTTGTAACACTGTAATTATCAGTGAGTAGAAAATGTAGACCAACCAATTTTTTTTTAAATATTCAGAATGAAAAATGATTTTTGGGTTTTGAGACATTCCATCTTATTTTAAAGGCGTTACTCGAGTCATTGAAATGTAATGAATCAAATCCTTGTATTTTGGGAGATTTAAGAATTTCATTCTTCAAAAGGTTTCTTTTTTTTTTTCAGGTAAAATTGCTGATAATTTTATTTATTTCTTTAGATGATGAACCATGAACAAAAAGCAATCGGGCGGATATACTAGTCTATACTAAAGAGCTAAAAGTAACTAAAGCACTGACCTCATGTAATTCCCTAAATACAGGGGAAAACACTTTCTAGCTTATATTAACTAGATTTATGCTTTTTAGTCATTTCTCTGTCATATCAGGAAAACCAGAGTAATTTAAAACGGTGTTTAGGTAAAAAAAAATTAAAAAAGGCATCTGCTGATAATTGCCAAGAGTTGCAGTGGATCAAATTTAAACCAACAAAATCCCAGAGGAAACAGGAAGGAGCTCAGACTGATCATTTGCTGAAATACAAATCTATTTTTGTCCACCAATTATAAAGCAGACTGTAAGGGCAAAAGAAAACCATCGTCCAATCAGCCGTAGTTTATTTCCTTTATCCTGCCTGCAGGTTTTAAAATGGCTGTTAAAAACTTACTTCTGCGTTTAAATCATTAAATGGCAGCGTCTTACGTCATTGAACCTTCAAACAGTCACAGTCTGGTTGGATGCCGCAGACATTAGCTCGTCTGCAGCAGCCAGGGCTAACGCTAGCCCCAGCTGTGGTTAGCCTTAGAGGTCCACTGGTTGCGGCTCTCCTCTCAGCAGCTGAACTTTTTTAAATCATGTTTTAAATCAGTAAATGTTCCATATAGTGAAGCTTAATTTTCTCGCCTCAAATGATCTTAAAACTTTTATTGTACAACAGAAAAGAGAACTTTTAACTTAATCCTGTGAGCGCTAACCTGGAAGCTGCTGCTGCAGTGCATGCTGGGACAGCTGTCAGTCTGGAGAACAGACAACTCTGCTCTGATGCATGCTGGGTAAAGAGGGAGGGGCGAGAACAGCATCCGGGGACTTTGTCTGTTCTCAGTCTGCTGTTCTTGTGAACTGGAACAGTACTAGTGCTGAGGGCGATGACGTTTCACGAGGACACGAGAAAGCACAAGTACACATAGTGAGAAACAACCATTGAATAAAGATGGTTTCCTTTCAAATAAATCTCGACATTAAAACTTCCTGCGTTGACCTACTGGGGTCAAACTACAGACCTTCACTCTGACCTCCAGTTTCCTTCAACCCAACAGGAGACTCTGGTGAACCTGGAGAGGCAGATTTATGCTTTCGAGGGCAGCTACCTGGAAGACACCCAGATGTACGGAAACATCATCAGAGGATGGGACAGATACCTGACCAACCAGAAGTAAGAGCTTCCGCCATGAAGGGACACGAAGCCGTTCTTTAGTCTGGGCTTAGTGGAACCAGCAGCTTTATAATCCAATGAAATAAAACTTGTTGTTTTTACCAGGAACTCCAACAGTAAAACTGACAGAAGGAACCGTAAATTTAAGGAAGCGGAGCGTCTGTTCAGCAAGTCCTCGGTAACATCAGTGGCAGTAAGTCCTCTTCCTGTTCTGCTCTGGTTGATCTGATGTTCTGTCAGCTCAGGTTACCCACAGCGATACGCGTGGTCGTTATTATCGGCCATCAGTCCCATAGCCAGTAGGTTTTATCATCCAGTTAATCCTAATCCTAAGTGATTCCTTTTCCCACATGGAATAAATGAATCTATTGATGCGTAATCTGAAAATAATCTCAGTAGTTCTTCATGTACTGTAAGAATAAATAAATAAAAATGATCTGCATGTTGCTCGTATTAAACAAACTAAAATAAATCTCCTGTCCAGTTGTAGAATCTTCTCCTTATGAATATTTAATTCTCTGTTAAATAAAGAATCCCAATCATTCTTTAATAAGATCCTCGTCAAACGGACGTGTAATGCACTTTAAGCTAATGCGTGTCGTTGATAATGGTGAGTATTAGCTTGGGTTTCACGATCCAATATTATCACTATGGAAACATCTTTCCTGTTATCAAAATTAAACAGATAAAAAAGTAACTTCTGTAAACGTTCATCAGATGAAATTCAGCGTTCGGTTCTTCTGGTTTCCGTGTTTCTGAGTCGGTCCCCGTCGTCCACCGTGAGCGCCGTACGTTGCTGCGCCGCTCAGCTAAAGGGCTCCACAGCGCCACCTGCCAGACTGAACCCGTTTCCCCTCAGTTTTAGGTAGAAATGTTTAGCTTAAAGAACCAATACCAGGAACTAAATGGTCGACATGTCAGGCAGACAGAAATCACCATAAATGACCTAAATGATTTTCCCGCCCCCCTGCTATGGACTTAGTGAAGGAGTTTTTTATCCATAAACGCTAAAAGCCGCTGGCTGTGAGGAGCGCAGAGGCAGCGGATGCTCACTGTGGCGTATTACTGAGGGTACGCTGGCCTGACGGCGTATGCTGAGCTGACAGAACTCCGCCCCACTCATCACACGGCTGTGTTCTGGTTGGCAGGCGGTCTGCGCGCTCGGAGGGATCCCCGACCACATGAACGAAAAGCGTGAGTAGGCTGGAACTGCGCCGCCGCCCGACGATGTTTTCCTGCGCATTCTGATCTTCTCTCCCATGACCTCAGGTGAAGCCGGCAGCGGGACGGAGAGCGACGCCTCTCCGGATCTTCAGAACCAGGAGAACGAACCGAGTCAGGAGGACACGGAGGACATGGACTCGGCGCTGCAGGACCTGAAGCCTCAGAAAGCTGCTTCCTCCTCGTCATCCAGCAGTCACCATGGCAACCCCAACAAGAAGAGGAAGAACAAGAACAGACACAGGTACGGTTCTGTCAGGCCCGGTGGGTCCAGGTAGCAGGAAACTGGAGCTGGTTCCAGTAGATCCTCTCAAACCGGGTTCTGGACTTCAGGAAACTGGAACCAGAACTTCCTCTGTGGTCCGGTTCCTGCTGAACCTTTCCTCCTGGTCCGCTCCGTGGTTCTGGAAGCTCCAGGTCCAGATCTGGTTCTGGATCTCTGGTCTGTAGAAGGACGTTTAGGGTGGAGGTCCGGTTCCTCAGACCCGGTTCTTCTACGCTCCAGAACCCGGACTGGGTCGGGCGTACCTCAGCTGTAGGGGACCTTCCAGGGACGGGTCAGAGGTTGGGTCTAATGAAGGTTCTGGAGCGGTTCCAGGTCCAAGACTAGAAAAATCAAACAGATTTTATGGATTTTAAAAGATCTAAATGAAGCAGAAGTTTTCTGCAAGGTTCTGGTTTTACGTTTCCGTGGGCAGAACCTGGTGGGGGAATGTGTTCCCTCCGTAGAACGGTGGGGGAATGTGTTCCCTCCGTAGAACGGTGGGGGAACGTGTTCCCTCCGTAGAACGGTGGGGGGTGGGGGAACGTGTTCCCTCCGTAGAACGGTGGGGGAACGTGTTCCCTCCGTAG